GTTTTTTGAATGATCAATGCCTAGAACAATACCTGGTACATAGGAGTTACCAAACAAGTGCTTACTGATTGAAATTAAATATCTATCATAAACCTAGAATTCTCTCTTTAACAGACTCTTATATGTAAGTGTCTACTCAGCATTCCCAATTACCTTTCCCACCAACACCTCTAATTTATATGTACTATAAATATAAATATGTACTATATATAAAAGCTAAACTCATACACACACACACACACATTCTTCTATTCTTCCTCTATTCATCCTGTCTTAGTTACCACTATCTATCTAGTCACCAAAACCAGACATGCAAGAGGAATCCTTCTTGCCCACCCATCTCTCGCCATCGTACCCTCAAAAGTCACTAAGTTTTTGAATTTCGTATCCTAGATATTGTTCAGACTTATTCCCTTCTTTCCATCTGCACTGCTATAGTTCTAGTTCAGGCCTTCACCTCTCACTAGGGTATTTTTTATTACTATTAATCTTCATAGCAAAATTTTACTGTTTTAACCATTTTTAAGTGTACAATTATATGGTCTTAAATACATTCACGTTGTCATTGTCGTGCTCACTAGAATTATTTTAATCAGGAGCTATTTGGGCTTCCTGCCCATAGGCTAACCTACCTCCATCCCATCCTACATTCTTGCCAGTGTAATCTTTCTAAAGAGCAAATGATGTTACTAGATGAGTTAAAGCCCATTCATTGCTTCCCAGTGTCTGTATTAATGGTTTCATCACAAAGTTTGCACAGGTCCAAGATGAAATGAGACAAAAGTTTTTCTAAATTTTTTCAACTTCATGAATGACAACATTAATCAAGATAAATAGTGAAACATGCATGAGAGACAAAATTAATTTTGTTTTAGATATGCTGAGTATATATGCCAACGGAATAAGCAAGAGGAGATGTCTTGACAGCAGCTGGGTATGTGCGTCTGAAACTCAGAAGGGAGTTTTAGGATGGAGGCTATGTATTTGGAAGTTACAAGCATAGAGGTGGAATAAAGGAAACAGCATTTTTTGAGGAAAGTATGGAAAGCATAAAGAAAAAGGTTATAAAATAAATACTATAAATAAATAAATAACAGCCATAATCCCAAAAGAAAAAACTACATCTTTAGTCTTTTTCTTACCCTGCTTCCATGGTTGAAAGTAGGCAAGATCTTTGATACTAATGGCAAACCCTAAGTGAAGCATTTCAAATGTCTTCTATCTCCTCTGCCAGACAGAGGTTGTTATCCATCTCTCTTGGATTTCCCTCTTTCTCCTTGGGAAAAAAAAAAAAAGTTTAAAGCCAGATACATTTGATGGGATAACCTCATTGCCTAAAGTAGAAGGAATAGTTTTTCCGGAGAGAGGACTGTCAAGCCAGTAAGAATTTCCACTCTCACAATAACAGATACAAAAATTACTCTCAAAAATAGAACCTATACTGAGATTTTTACTTTGGTACAGTTCTCTTGGTGATGAGGAATTTGTTCTGTTTTCACACCTTTCTATTGCAAAATATATCTATGTAATCAGTAAGAGTCCTTCAGGCCCACCAAAATTCCAAAATACATCTCAAAAGTTGTAGTACTTTGGAAGCAGTATAGAACATCAAAGATGTCAAAGAGGTGGTAATTAGACTTAGTATCACATCCTAGCCCCAAAAGTCACTCGCAGTGGGGCTCTGATCAAATTACTGTCTATATGTTTTGGTTTCATCAGCCAATGATAATGTCTACTCCATGAAGTTACCATGAAAATTAAGTGTGTGTATAATTCACTTCTCATAATTCCTGGCATATAATCAATATTAAGAATTAATTACCATTTGGGGCGCCTGGATGGATGAGTCAGTTAAGCATCCCACTCTTGATTTCAGCTTAGGTCGTGATCTCAGGGTCGGGAAATCGAATCCTGAGGAAGGCTCCATACTGAGTGTGAAGCCTGCATTAAGATTGTTTTTCTCCCTCTCCCTCTGCCTCTCCCCACCCCACTCACACACTTTCTCTCTCTAAAATAAATTAATTTTAAAAATAAATCTAAAAAATAATTACTATTTAAAATATATCACAATATTCATTGAGAATAAAAAATAAAAGTAAACTGATTAGGAATATTGGTAAATAACTAAGTTCACCTGATGGAAAATTACATATTCCATTGTAGTACCTACATATTATCTAAACACATAGAAAATATAAAAAGAAAGAAGTTTTCTATCTAAAATATAGCTTTAAATATTGTTTCAAGTTTATATAGAAATTGTACTATACCAAATAGTAGTTTGTAGCTATTATTTTCCAAAGATATGCAATATCATCAATCTACTTTCTTAATGTGTTACTAAAATGGCAGGTGAAATACACCAACAGATACTTTCCCAATTTGACTTAAGTCAGAACTTGAGAAAATTTTTAATGAAACTAAAGAATTCATTAACCTATAGTCTGAAATCTGTAACTCTTAGTAACCCAAGTCCTAGTGGAAGTAACTTTGAACTACGAACAAGGAAACCAGGCCCAGATTTGTTCCTCTTTTACCACAGGCCTAGTATAAGGGTTTACTTGTCTGCTTCAGTTTCTTCATATTTAAAACGGAGAAATCCTAATCCTAGCTCTAACCCCTTTCCTATGTCATGAAGCCCTTGGGAAACTATCGTTGAGTAACATGTAAAGCAGTTGGAACCCAATTCAGTAAGCTACATAATTTTTTAAAGGTATTGTTGATTTGGACAGTAAAGAATAGCCTGCAGGCCAATCCTGCAAGGTGCTTCAACAGACATACACAGCTACCTTCCTGTTGGCACCGTCCACATTTGGCAGGTGTATTCCATTCCTTACAGGAAGGAATAGGTGCTTCATTGTGTTTCAGAAGTCAGTAAGCTTTTACAGAACTAAGTAATTGACATTTTTTTCATTTCTGAGATCAGATTTTCATAAATCATTCAACCTGGATAAACCGAGAATGTGGTTGATCTAGTAATTGTTGAAACATAGTAAAGACAGCACAAGATGTGATATTTAAGTATTTCCTTCTAACCTTTTACCTTAGCAAGATATAAGAGTTTGAAATGGAAATATGTCCTAAGGTATAAAAAGGGAACTAAAGTAATATGAGACTATTAGTAAAGGAAAAGTCAAAAGGGACACAACACCGATTCATCTCAGTAATATGGGATTCCATTAATACTGAATTCATAGTAATAACAGTAACTCTGCTGAGTACAGCATACTTTTACATTATGAAGAAGGTTTTTTTTGATAGTAGTATAAATGATATTGTGGTGGAGGGATATAACTAACCAACTTGAAATTAGTATTTTCTGACTTTCTTACGATATATACCAAAAAAATGCTGATAAATGGCCTGTCCATATTTCTACTGGAGTCCTTTTTTAACAGTTCATTGAGGTTACTATCATATTTTAACAACACATTTAAATTTTCATACTGATATTTTTCTTGCCCCTCCTCCAGTATTTAGGATAGTGAAACTTTGTCTTAAAGAATTTATGTATAAATCATATAGAATCATTTTCAGAGTATATAAGATAGCACTAGTTTTTATCACTAGGGAAAATCCAACTAATACAAATTGGCCTGTGAACATAATGAATTGTCCAGTGAGTCTTCAGTAGTCTGAAGCTATTTTAGTGGACACATAATACTTTTGTATAATATTTTGCATTTGAGAAATTTGTGGTAATAAACTTAGGCAAAATTTGCCTTTTGACTCTAAGATCATTACTAACATTTCTCAAAGCACAGATTTTTGTTGCACTGAATTATTTTATTTCATCTTCTTATTTTGATAACAGAATTCAGTATATGTGAAATCATCCAATAAACTTAAGCTAGCTTTCAGTGTCACATGCAGCTGATTAGTCATGTAAACCTAGCATGTATGACACTAAGAATACCCTCATTCCTTTAGTGTCTAGCTCTGTGCTGTGTTTATTTGCAAAGGACCCTCATGCATGGATCCATACAAATGAGGCAAGCTGGAGCAGACTAGACTATGTCGCTCACCAGTCTTTGAGGAGGAAGATTGTGTATATGAAAACTGGAAGATTTCTGTGTAATATCAAACGGGATTTTTCGTTGAGGTTTTATGTTTTCAGTAAAAAAAATAAATAAATAAAAAATAAAAGGAAAAAATTAATGGTCTGATTCCATCATCTTTGTCAAGCAAAATCTCACTGATGCACATGAATGTCATCTCCCACCCTAAGAACATTACAGAATGGACTTCTGAACTTTTGACTTTATTTTCAGTATAACTGGTGTATTTTTAATCAACTAAAGAAAATTACTTACCTTTGACTAGAAACTATAGAATCATTGCTAACCTATTTATATTATTCAAAAACTTTTTTTAAATGTAGTACAGAAAGTCTGGTTTTATTAGCACCAACTCATTTGTGCATATTTAAATTATTTTCAGGCCACTAAACTGAAATTTTTTCCAACTAGCTACCTAATTCCTGATTATTTTCATCAGCTGACTCTGTGAAGAAGGGAGAAATTTAATGCCTAAGAATTCTATAACATACTAGTATGTCACTAATGTAGCTCAGTAACAGGTGTAAGATTGATAGTATTTCTATATTGAAATATGTACTTCTTAGGTAAAAATCAATTTGAAGCTGCTCTACATCTCATGTGCCGTCTTCTCATTGCATAGAAAATGATTCATTCGCAGCCTTAATGCAGGCAGGCAAATGTATTGAAATGAGTATGTTGTATTTTTCATGGAGCATCTAATGCTGACATAATCTGAAGATCTGGGTTAAAGTTTGTGTTGTTACTGTTTTTTTAACCTCAGATACTTGGCACTCTGCACCAGTATGTCTTGCTGACAGTAATGCTTTGTCTCTTAACATGACTACCAGAACTGCTTGGTCACAGGCAAATACTGTTCTTTTTCAGCCAAAACATTCCTGACAATAACTGCACTTTTTATATTTTTTTTTCCCCCTTCCCGCCCTCCTGCCCCCAACTTAGGTTGGAAAGGCTAGTGGACGTCCTGAGGAAGAAGGTTGGAACAGGGACCATGAGGACAGTGATCTGACTGAAAAAACGACAGTCTGGGGAAGCAATCACATCTGGTGACCAGGCTGCTTCATTCAACACTGTGTAAACACTAAAGCCTTAACTTAGCAAACAGTTGTTAGAAGTGGGACACTCCAACCACATTCCAAGCTGAGATAAAATCAAATCACAAATGTTTAACCACTTTGCTGCTGACTTATTTATCCAAATGTATTAACTACAGACTTTTACCAATGAGTAGCTATAAAGTTGCAGCTTATTTTGTAACTATTTTATATCTCACTGTATTTAATATAAATCTTTTTACCAAGAGACCGTTATAGGTCATATCTTCACATAAGGCCCTTTCTGAGTCAAAATACAGCAAAGTAAATATTGTCTAAACCTTAATCCACTGTGTTAGGTCAAAACTTCAAATACATGCATTTTTCAATATAGAATTTATTTCTTAACTGATGAGAGAAGCTCAGACATGAGGGGGTACATAGTCTTCCTCCAATGCATACACATAATCTTTGTTAGTATTAAAGAATATTAAGTATAAATACTAAGAATTAAATATATAATTTGCTCCAATAAGAGTTTGGTACATTAAAATTATATTTTTCACTTCATGATTTTTCTTTCACTACAAATAATGCAAACAATTTTCAATAAAAAAGATATTGTTCATGTGTACTTCTAAATTCATATTGTCAATATTTCTTAGTGTTGTGTCTGAATAATTGTCTAAACTCTATTGAAGCTATAGAAATTGCCAAGTCTAATAGGCTGGGACACCTTTGGCTTGAAAATTAGCATGTGCCAGCATGACTCTAAAAGGCAAGAGGCCATCAAACATGTTAAGTGATATGTTTTTATTATCTTTATTTAGATTATCATTTGAATTTATGTTCTGGAGGAGGGGAATCCAATATACAATAAAATTATAATGTAAAAATATAAGGACATGGAAAAAAGAAAACTGGCAATTTGGTTTGATTACCTACTTTTTCTTTTAAAAGATAATTTGAAATAGTTACAGCATAGCAGTCACTTCTAATCATATGAAATTTTGAATAAAACTAAGGTTTTTGTATTTAACTATAGGAAAAAATCTCTTCTTTTTTTAGATTGAATAGATAAGAGGCCAGTAGATGAAATAGGCAAGTAGAGATTTAATTAATGAAAATTTTGTAGGAAAATGAAAATCTTTCTAAGTTCATACAATAATTTATCTTTAAGATTGAGCTAAGTTATCTACTATTGCTTATTTTTGGGACAAGAATGGGATAATTTATTGCACCATTCTTTCATACACCAATGGAGATGATTTTTTTATTTTTTACTTTGAAGGAAAATATAATGTGCTTTATCACAGGGTAGCAAAAAAATCATAACGTTAACAAATTCTATTTCTTCTTCATTAAATGTATTAAATTAAATTAACTGGCAGTTGGAACCATCCCACTGAGTTGAAATTTAGAATTTACTCATGTTCCCTGCTTTTAATTATTTTTTAAACTATTACAATTAGAAAATAAGAAACATCAGGGGATAGAAATAAGCCAATTGGATTTCCTCTACAGCCCTAAAGAGAATTACAGACCAGTGACTATATAAACAGAGAAATTTGAAATAATTTGGGTATGCATGGAGTCTTCTCTCTGGACTCTGACTGAAACATGTGGCAGCTCCCTGTGTGAAAGAACAGTTGCTTTCAAGCCATGCAGGTAAATAAAGAGGAACAGTTCTCATCACAAAATAGTCCATTCCTGAATCCTCTTCAACTAAATCACAAGTCAGCTTGAATTTTCAGTTTAGTCCTGTAGAAGAGACACATCTATCTTGAGTTATTTGCTTGGGGTTTAGAAAACACACAGTAAGTAACCATAAGGACATTTTACAGTTTCCCAAATTCTCTTTCTGAACCCTAAATGATCAGATTAGAGCAACCAATTCCTTTAATTAATATCCAGAACTTTTAAAGAATTTGATATTATGAAGCTAAATTCATAAAACAATTCTAACATTTACTATTGTCAGTGTAGGTAATCTCCACCAAAACATCACATCCCCTTGAAAATGAGTTGTGTACAGAACTCCAAATGCTAAATATTACAGCCAAATATTATCATTAATTGATTTCTTGCACTAGCAGTGTTTCATACAGTCTCTACTTTTTTTTGTGAATCACCCAGCTCACCGAAGATCAGTTCTCCACATATTCAGTAATAATGCAATTTCAGAAGTATTCCAGGCAGTATCCCATTGCCCAGAGATGTTGCTTTGAGTTTGCCTTAAATACGATCAACTCTAATTCCTATGGTAAGGTGAGAATTCACTTACTGTTGTGAAAATGAGTAGTTTAGAAGAAAAGCAGAAAAGATAATACAAACATGTATAGCACTTAATGATTTATAGTCCTTTTTTATTTGATCGTATCAACAATCATATAATAGCAATAATAATAAATTATATATATGTATCAGCCACATAATGATGATGATAATTGTAGTAGTATTGTTATTACATTTTACAATGAGGAAATAGACTCAGAGGGGCTAGGAATTTGCCAAGGATTGGCTAGGACTTACAACTGAGGTCTTATGAATAAACTCCATGTAGCTATACTTCTCTAAACCTTTCTATAAGAATTTTAACTCTTGGGATCCCTGGGTAGCTCAGCAGTTTAGCGCCTGCCTTTGGCCCAGGGCATGATCCTGTGGTCCCAGGATCAAGTCTCACATCGGGCATCCTGCATGGAGCCTGCTTCTCCCCCTGCCTGTGTCTCTGCCTCTCTCTCTCTCTCTCTCTCCTCTCTCTCTCTCTCTCTCTCTCTCTCCTCTCTGTGTCTCTCATGAATAAGTAAATAAAATCTTTTTAAAAAAATTTAACTCTTGCTATTTTTATTATTGTGCAATTTCTTTTCTACACATACCTGTGAATTCACTAACAATCGAGATGATATGCATTTCTTTCAAAGAAGTACAATAATGTGAACCCCATGGGTAAATAGCACCACATTATTACTACTTCTCTATAATATTATAGTAGCAGCATACTTTGCCTTAGGCTTCACTCATTAGGAAGGACAATTCATTGTTAGTAAAAAATAACCATGAGTTGCTTTGTACTATTTATAATTTGGCCTGATGCTAAAACCTGACAGTGTAGTTTTATCAAATGGTGGTCTGAACTTCAAGGCTTACTTTACCTCTTAGAGCAACTATTAGAGATAGAACTGGTTATAAACCAGATTATTGGTTATAAGCAAGGTATAAGCAGTTATAGCAAAGTTATTAATTAATTATTAATATGAGAAATTTAATTCTACTTTTATAACTAAGCCATTATGCTAAAAATATGCAAAATATTTGAAATATTTTATCTAACATTTTCCTTATTCAATGAGAAAGGCGATCCTTTGTATATATCCTTATTCAAATAAACTGAAGAATCTTGTCAGTCCCTTACTAACAGAACTAGTTTACTTCACAAAAATGTTAGAATATTAAAAATTTGTAGTTTTAATATTGGTTGTAGTTGCATAGAAAAGCATTTTTATATGTAGTATTTTTGAAGGTGATAGATATTTTTAAAATTTTATTTTCACATACTCATGATTAATGAGTCAGTATAATGATAAAATAACCATGACTTACACATTTTATCTTCTCACATTTGGTTTGAATGGAACCCAGATTTTTCCCAAGACATTATTTTGTTGTTAACTATTATTTACAACTATCTATTGACCTATTCATATCTGTGTACTTAGATGTATACACACTGACACACACACACAAATACATATGCCTTTTTAAAAATTTGATTTATAAGTCCACTGTTAGGCTTCAGTGACTTCAGTATTTTGTTCATGTTTTATTAGAAATGCATGTAGTTTCTGAGGCTTTTAAACAAATACGTGGAATGGTTGAAAGATTTATATTGCTCATGCTTAACTAAATATGTCATCTCTAGAAAAGATGTGGTTTATTTTGGCACTGTTTTAAAAACTCAAATATTTTAAACATTTGTTAAGTTGGAGCTTGCACATTTGAACTATTAGCATGCGTTCCAGAATAGATTCTCAAGTTACCAAACTTTTATAATCCTTTTATTAGAATAATCTTTTTTGAAAGGGTTTTTTTCTGTTCTTTTTTATTATGTACTTTAAGTTAAATTTATAGAAGTTGGAGTTATTTTTAACGTGGGATTTTGTAAGTAGAATGAGACAATGATAAATATATTTGAGAATCATTAAAATATTGTATGCCATTAATACTTCCTCACAGAAATCTTAATATACTTTATTTTTATTTTTTTAAAGATTATTTGAGAGAGAGAGCATGAGTGCGGGGGGAGGGAAAGGGAGAGGGAGAAGCAGACTCCCTGCTGAGCAGGGAGCCCAACACGGGGCTCAATCTCAGGACCCCAAGACTCATGACCCAAGCCAAAGGCAGACACTTAACCAGCTAAGCTAGCCAGGCACCCTGTTAGCTTCCTCCTAACCATATTTACCCAAAGTAAATAAGAGTACAGAGAAACCTCTGTAATATTTTATTGCTATAATTTTATTTTGTATTTAAATAATTTTTAAAGGCTCCTAAGGTACCTAAAAAATTGTTCATATCAATTTTTATCCTTATTAAACTTGCTAAGGAAGTGGCTCAGTCAGTTAAGCATCTGCCTTCAGTGCAGGTCATGATCTCAGGGTCCCAGGATTAAGCTCTGCTTTGGGCTCAGTGCTCAATGGGGAGCCTGCTTCTCCCTCTTCCTCTGCCCCTCCCCCTTGCTCATGCTCTCTCTCTCTCTCTCTCTCTCCTCTCTCTCAAATAAATATGTTTAAAAAAAATCTGGGAAAGGAAATCAGTTCTCTTAATGAGAAAATAACAGATTGATTCAAATCTGCTGCAAAGCAGCACCTCTACTAATTGTGGAATTTTGCTATAACCAATAGCTGAAATCTAAAAACACTTCTTCTGTTCTGTTTAATTATTCAGTCAAGGTTAGGTAATGTAAATACCTTACATATACTACGTAATACCTGTAGGGAACTTAGTGAACTTTGAATTGAAAACTTAAAGTACATTGGCTAAAGTGGACTAGGGTGGGGTGGGCAGTAAGAACCTTTGGGGGCAAAGATTCTATAAACTGTAAATGTCTCTAAATCATATCACAGCTTACAAAAATTATTGTCTCACTGTGTATGTATGGTCTTTGTGATACTGTTATCAGACATTTTACTTCTACAATGTACACAATAACAGCATTGTTATTATTTTCACTTTAAACAACAATTTTTAAGATTTTAAAAAGTAAGAACATTATATTTACTCACATACTTACCATTTCCAGTGCTCTTCTTTGTGTAGATGCAACTTTCCACCCATTATCTATTCCTTCTTCTTGAAGCATTTCTCATTTATACTAATGTAGGGCTGTGAGTGCAGAGTTCTTTCAGCTTTCATGTCTGAAAAAAGTCTGGATTCTTTTCTTTGCCTTCATTTTGTGAAAAAGGTTTTTGCTGGATACAGAATTTTAGGATAATTTTTTCCCAGTATTTTCGAGATGTTGCTTCTTTTGTCTCTGGCTTGCTTCGTTCCTGCTGTCATTTTTATTTTTTGTTCTCTACATACTAATATCCTCTGGCTTCTTTAAAGATTTTTTTTCCCCTTGTCATTTGTTTCAACCAATTAGATTAGGTTGTATTATGGTATAGGTTCCTGCATGCTTCTGTGCTCATGGTTTGTTGAATTTCTTAGACTGTGAGTTTATAGTCTACGAATTTTTTTTTTATTTCAACCATTATTTTTCTGATGGTTTTCTGTCGCTTGGGTCCTTTTCCTCTCCCTCTGGAACTACTTACTTTGTTCAATATATATTAGGCCACCTAAGTTGTGCTACAGCTATTTCATGCTTCATTTTTTTTTTCCAGGATGTTTTTCCCCTATGTTTTATTTTGGATAGTTTCTATTGCTTTATTTTCAAATCTACTAATCTTTTCTGTTGCAGTGTCTAG